GGGCATGTACCTTGGCTTCAATTCAATCCCCAACCCTGGTTGGGGCTGTGTGAGAGGCAACAAATCGATATGTCTCTCTTGCATCGATGTTTCTCTCTCTCTCTCTCCCTCTCTTCTTCCCAGTCTAAAAATCAATGAAAAAATATCCTTGGGTAAAGGCTTAAAAAAATGATGAAGATATTTGTTTGCAATTTAAAAACCTGAATGAATTAGAAACCAGGGAACAATACAAAGATATGTTTTAATGGATACAGAAAAGTTCATTTACTATTGCACTTACCTTCCAAGAAATTTCCTTTGATTACTAACACATATGCAACCTAATCCAATATGGTTTATAGCAAAGTTACCTTTTAACTTTCAGAACTCAGAATAGCCCCTGTCCCAAAATAGATGATCAGTAACTTTCCTTGAGAAGTTACTGACCTTTGCTCCCTCGTTGTTTTCTTCTCACTACCCTACTGAGACACAGTGGTCAGGAATATCCCCAACCAGTTTTTTCTCTGGGGTTTCCAAATAGCCTACCTTTTCTGCAAAGTACAAAGCAGCCATCTCCTCTAGGGGCTGAATTGTGTCCCTCCAAAATTCATGTGTTGAAGCCCTACCTCTCAGAATGTGACTTACATAAAGAAAGGGCCTTTTAAAAGGTGATTGTGTTGCCCTGGTCAGTTTGGCTCAGCGGTTAGAGCGTCGGCCTGTGGTCTAGAGAGACCCGGGATCGGTTCCCACTAAGGGCACGTACTTCGGTTGCAGTTTGTCCCCGGCCCTGGTTGGTCATGCGGGTGGCAGCCACTCGATGTGTCCCTTCACGTCAATGTTTCTCTCTCTCTCTCCCTTCCTCTCTCTCCCTCCCACTCTATCTGTACAAAAAATGGAAAAATATCCTCGGGTGAGGATAAAAGAAAAATAAATAAATAAATAAATAAAAGGTGATTGTGTTAAATGAGGCCATTAGGGTAAACCCTAATCCAATCTGACTGGTATTTTAGCAAGAAAAGAAGGTTAGGACAAAAAGAGGCACAAAGCCGGCTGGTGTGGCTCAGTGGTTGAGTGACAATCCATGCCTCAAGAGGTTGCCAGTTCAATTCCCAGTCAGGGCACATGCCCAGGTTGTGGGCCCAATCCCCAGTAGGGGGCGTGCAGGAGGCGGCCAATCGATGTTCTCTCTCATCAATGTTTCAATCTCTCGCTCCCTCTCCCTTACTCTCTCTCTAAAAAAAAAAAAATCAATAAAAGAAAAAATAAAAAAGATAAAAAAAAAAAAGAGGCCCAAGGGATGTGTGTGAACAGGAGTGGGGGAGAAGAATATTTGAGCTCATGTTTGAAGAATAGTTTTTGTGGAGTTGTTTTAAGTTGTTTAGTTTATATTTTGTTTTTGTTTCATACACTTCTAAGACCAGACTTTTTATTTCAACGTGATATTATGAAAATTTTCAAAGATCACAAAGCTGAAAGAATTTTATGGTGGATATTAAAATGCACCGAGATTGTACCATTAACATTTGGCTGCATTTGCTTTATTTTATTGCACAACTATGCACCTACTCACCCCTCCCTCGCTTCCTCCATCCATCCTCATCGTAACGCATTTCAAAATATCATATTGCAAATATCTGTAACTTCCTTTTCAGCATCCGTATCATAACCAGAATCCAGTATGGTTGACCCTTGAACAACACAAGGGTTGTTTTGACTGCGCTGTTCTCCCCACCTCACTTTGTGCAGTCGAAAACCCACATATAAGTCTTGATTCCCCCCAAACTTAACTACTAATAGCCTACTGTTGACTGGAAACCTTACCGATAACAAACAGTTGACTCACATATTTTGTATTGTTTTGGTAGTGTATACTCTTTTCTTACTATAAACTAACCTAGAGAAAAGAAAATGTTATTAGGAAATCACAAGGGAGAGAAAATAGATTAACAGTAGTTATTGAAAAAGAATCCATGAAAGTGGACCTGCACAGTCAAACCCATGTTCAAGTGCCAACTATATTTGCTTACAGTACTTTCTTTTGATGTAAAATGTTATCTCCAATGATGAACTTCACAATATGAAGTATTTGCTGAGTGTAATCAAGAACATACACCTTGCAACCCAAACCCTTATCAACATACAAAAGATAATCATCACTCCAGAAAGTTTTCAAGTCTCTTTTAGTTAATTCCCATTCACACCACCCCCAGAGACAACTACTAGTATAACTTTTGTTCCACTGTAGATTAGTTTTGCTTGTTCTAGAACTTTATTTAAAAGGAATCACATGTATTTTGCAGTCTCTTAAGTACAGCTTCTTTCACACAGTATTACGTTTTTGAGACTGAGCCTGTGGTTGTGTGTAGAATATCTTTCCTTTTTGTGTTTGGGAAGAATTGTTGAATACACCACTTGTTGATCCATCCTCTTACAGATGGACACCTGGTCTGTTTCCAATTTTTGGCTAGTATGAATAAAGCCACTATAAACATTATTGTACAAGTTTTTTTGTGGCCATATATTTTCATTCTGTTGGGTAAATACATAAAAATGGAATTTCTGGGTCATAGGGTAAGTACATTTAAAAAAAATTTTTTTCTTAACAAAAACTGGCCTTGGCTGGTTTGGCTCAGTGGCTGGAGCAGCGATCAGTGGACCAATAAGTTGTGGGTTCGATTCCCGGTCAAGGGCACATACCTGGGTTGCAGGTTTGATCCCCAGCCCCAGTCAGGATCCTGCAGGAAGCAACCAAACAATATGTCTCTCTCATATTGATGTTTCTCCCCCCACCCCCACACTCTGTCTAAAGATAAGTGGAAACATATCCTCAGGTGAGGATTAAAAAATAATAATAATAACAATAATAAAGAAATAAAGAAAACTGCAGAGTGGTTTTTTTGTTTTTGTTTTTGTTTTTGTTTGTATGTGCCCCTAGCGGGAACCGAACGTGGACTCTCTGGTCCGCAGGCCAATGCTCCAACCGCTGAGCCATGTTTTTTAAAACACAGTAGCCATACCCTTTCACTGTCCCACTAATATACAAGAATCCCCACTGCTCCACATTTTCGCCAGCATTTGGTGTTTTTAACAAGACCAGATCTTTCTATACTATCTCTGGCTCTGGGCATTAAAAAATAGGAAGGGTGCCCTGGCCGGTTTGGTTCAGCTGTTAGAGTGTTGGCCTGCGTTCCAGAAACCAGGGTTCGGTTCCCGCTAAGGGCATGTACCTTGGTTGCAGTTTGTTCCCGGCCCTGTTTGGGTTGTGTGGGTGGTGGCCACTCGATGTGTCCCTTTCACGTTGATATTTTTCTCTCTCCCCCTCCCACTCTATCTGAACAACAAATGGAAAAATGTTCTTGGGTGAGGATAAAAAAAAAAAATAGGAAGGGTTTTGACATCACTGTCATCAGTGGGCATGTATGGCCCTGTGGTTGGTGGCACTATGCAGAAGCTAATGTAAATTTATTCCTCATAGCAACCTGTTTGGAAGCTGGGAGAGGCGAAGAAACTGGGGAGCCAGGATTCAAACCCAGGTTCTTCTGGCCCCATTTTCTTTTCTCCTTGGCCAGGACTAGTGAAACAAGACATGTTGAGAAGGGAGACTCTTGTGCAAGGGAGTGTCGTCAAACTTTTCCCTTTGGTCAGAGCCCTCCAGGAAGCTCAGAAGATTCTAGTTCATGTAGAATCCGGTGTTTCTGGCCCTGTAGGTTTAGATGAATTGGGGGAAGGAGATGGGAGAAAGGTGGGAAGAGAAGAAATTCTTCCCCAAAGACTTGTTTCCTTCTATCTGGAGATTAAGGAGATTAAGTTTTCAGGCCTGAAGGGAGAAGGAGGGGCCCAAGGAGACCTGAAAAATGTTTTATCTGCTGCCCTACACCTTTGAGGGAAGGAACCTCCGGGACTAAGGGGTGCTAGGTGCAACTCAGATTTCAATCACAGTTCTACTTGGCTTAAGTAATATCCCCAAAATGAGCGGTTTGACCCAGCGATTGCGGAATCTGTCCCCGGAGGGCACCTAGATTTATTTGCGGGACAGTGTCATTGCTGGGGTTTGGGATACAAATGGAGAAGAAACAGAATGAATGGAGTCCCATTGTTTAGTCCTCACAATTGTATTAGGTAAACACAACCACCTTCTTTAGCCAGATGAGGAATCCGAAGAAGAGAGGGTTTACGTCATTTATCCAAAGTCACACAGTTCTACGCGGCAGATTCCAAACTCTGTCCACCTCCTGGTGGAAAGAGTGATGTAGGGTCTGCAGACTCACAATGCTGAGATTTCTGCTCCTAAGGTCCTTCTCTGTAGAAATCCTGATGCAGTTCCTGCAATTAGTCCTCAGTGGTATTAGCTACTATTTCATTATGATTACATAGCTGCAGCATCTTATTGGCACGTTCTCGGAATACCGACGTTAAAAAGGTCTTTTAAAGCTCTTCTGTTAGTGCTGCTGTCTTGACACCCCCAACTCTGGCAGTGGTTTCTGAATGTATGAAATACTGCACAGTTCTCCCCTCCCCCAAGCAGGGATCAGCGGGCTCTGAATGCGCTGCGTTCAGGCTGCGGCGGCCCTTGGATAATTTTTCTAGGCTGGGACACTTTCTGTACCCTTCTGCTCCCCACAGGCCCCAATCTGCAGGCTTAGAGGCCGGCGGGACTCAGAGCCCCTCTTCGGCGGCCCGCGCGCCCATCTACAACAGCTTTTCGAGAAGCCCAGGCGAGCGCCGGGTGCGCAGGGGAGTCGGGATGGGGTGGGGGTGCGGCCAGCAGAGGAGGAGGGGGTGGGGTGAGGCTCAACGGGGAGCCGGGGGTGAGGATGAAGTGTAGTCCGCAGGAAAAGAGGGAGTGGGTGGGGATGCCCGGTCACCCGGAGCCGGGGACGGGGGTGGGATGGGGGTGCAACCACTGGAAGAGCAGGGGGCGGGGGTAGGAGTGCCAGGCGTGTCCCGAGCCAGGGGTGGGGCCGCGGGTTCGCAGCGGTCACGTGACGAGTCAGCCGGGCGCGGGGCGGAGACGGGCGCGGTAAATAGGAGCGGGGGCGGCCCGGGGACGCTACGGCTGCTGGCGCTCCGAGGCTGGCACCGGATCGCGCTCGTCGGCTGCAGGCCCAGTCGCTCGGCGGTGGAGCTCGGTGAGTTCGGGCGGGCGGCGGGCGCAGGCGCAGCGCCACCGCAGCGGAAGTGACCTTGGCTTGGGATGAGGACACTGGGGCCCTGTGCGCCCCACGCCAGGCCCTGGCGGGGTCTCCTGGGTACTGGCGGGACCCGGGGACTCCCGGGCTGACACAGCCGGGCCAGTAGGGGTGGCAGACGCGCGCTCCCCAAAACTCGTCCTGGTGAGAAAAGCAAAAAACAACCCGCTCGCGGGCACCCGGGCTCCCAGCCCCTTGTGTGACTGGGAAGCTCGCGGTCAGGGCTGTGTTTCTGTCCCGGGCCGGGTCATCTCGACCCCGCGATCCGCCCGTCCCCAGGGCTGGCCTGGGAGGCTGCCCAGGCGGAGCCGGCAGTTTGCAGGGGTGGTCCCAGGGAGGAGCCTGCGAGGAATGGCTTGGCACGGAACCCGGTGACTATCGGCTAAAATCTGCCCCCCCCACCCTGTGTCGATTTCTGGGCCTCAGTTTCCGCAGCAAACTGCTGAAATAATGGTGTCTACCTGATGTATTTTAGGTATTTTCTTATTTCAGAGGGTTTGCCTGGGCAGCTTTCTGCACACAATCACACACCATTCCAGGAACCCCAGAAGACAGAAACTGAAAAACAGGAGCCTGAAACTGGGTGCATTAGGCTGGAACCCACATGGAAAGTTAAATCTATAGATGGAAAGGAAAAGGAACAGAGAGGAGGATAGAAGACTAGCAGGGGTTCTCAACCTGTGGGTCTGACCCCTTTGGGGTCCAACGACCCCTTTACAGGGGTCGCCTAGGACATAACAGTAGCCAAATTACAGTTATGAAGTAGCAACGAAAATAATCTTATGGTTGGGGGCCATATAACATTAGGAACTGTATTAAGGGTCCGGGCATTAGGAAGGTTGAGAACTACAGCTAGGGCCTCAGTACCCCCCTCGCCGTTCCCCCCCTCCCCCGTCCTCTCCCTCCCCCAAGGGAAACTGCCTCAGGCCCGGGGTGGTGTGGGAAAGCAGAAAGCAGGGTGGAGTCCCTGGGCCCTCAACTCTCTGTTATAACCCTGAGGCCTGGGAGAGGGAGCTTTTAGGGAGCAGTGTGGGGGGACCGGGTTTGGGGGGCTTAGCTGGCAGGCACTCCAGGTCGACATGAGCTGAATTTGCCTTCTTAGTGGGCCTAGGTCTAACCCCCTTCTCTGGGTACTGAAGAAACCAACAGGCACAGGGAGGAGGACAATAGCCCAGGTCCCATATACCTCTGCCTGATCCAGTAGAAACCCTCACCCAGTGGGTGGGTTCAAAGGGAGGCCTAGCGCCCTTTGTTACCTTGGAAAACCTGATCCCCAAGTGCCTCCACTCAGAGGTGAATGCAGCTGAGTTCCATTCATCAGAATGAACCTATCAGTGCAGAGTGAGAAGGTGAAAGGCTTAGAAGGGTGTTTGGCTCCACCAAAGCTTCTTTCCTTTTCTTCCATAAAGTCCTTTCCTTAATGGAGAAGTGTTTCCTTTTGGCACTGGTGACGGTGACCAAGGGGGCTGGGCTGTCCCCACCCTGTGTGGCTTTCCCCAAAAGAGAATTGAAGGTACCCTGGAGAGAGGTTCTGCACAAACCCTTTCTGGGCAGTTGTCCCAGAGCTGGGGTACTACCCAGTAGAAAGATGCAGACCCCTCATCTGGGTGCTTCCCAGACCCTGGGGGCAGCAACACAGGCCTGACACAGCCGGGCTCCAGTAACTTCCTTGATATTGCATCTGGACAACCCTGTTTTCCAACTGGTCAGAGGGAGGCTTTTTTGCTCCAGGGAAAACCTACCCATGTGCTGCTGACTCAGCAGCTGGCACTGAGGCCTGGTTCTTTCTTCTCTTTCCCCAACTGCTGACTAAGGAGATGGAGTAGGAAGTTGCCTTCATTTTAGGGGTAAGATACTTTGAGTTACTAGTGGCAGCTGGATTGAGAAGTGACAGGAGAACATATGTCAGGGGAGCTTGGAAATGTCTGTTGGGTGATTTTCTTAAATGTGAGTGGTGGTTATGTAGCCTGTCCCTGCCATTGGGAGAGAAGGACTGAAATATTAGAGGGTGAAGACTCACAATGTCCACCACCAGAGTTTGGCATAAGGAAAGAATTAGAAATATGGGAGATTGAACTAGGTAAAATGGGAAATTGCGAATGATGGAAATTGGGCATTTTCATAGGGTCCAGTGTCATATGTAGACAGGTGATGGGGGTCGACAATAAGTTGATGGGTCAAGTTGAGGCACATACAGATATTGGGAGGCCGTCAGCAGTCTGCACCTGGTCGCATAGCATCATCTCTCTTGGTTTAAGCTCCCTACACGTACTCCAGGAGGCCGCCTAAGAGAGGAAGATGAATCCTGGGTCCTTCCTTGGCTGTTAATGTTCATATTCCACCCTCTTTTGGGTGGGGGAGGGGGAGCCTAGGGATCGAATGTCATTACATATCTAGACTTTAACCAGTCCCACGTTTAACCTCAAGCTTCATTCCCACTCCGGTTCCACAGCCTCCAAGTCTTGGGCTTGTGTGGGTTTGTAGGGTGAGTGCTTTCCCTCGTGGCCACAGCTCCCCTTGGCAGGGAGCAGGTTTCAGCTCCTTTGATCTGCAAGTCCATTACCACTTGCTTCTGATCTTCCTGGGGACACGAGCTCCTTTCTGCTCTTCTCTATATAGTTCTCCTGTACTTTCTTTCTACTTTTAATACTTTGTATCAATCCATGAACAATGTTATTAAAATTCATGTAACTTTCCTTATACTCCATGTATCCTTTCCCACTGGTATTTTTGAGAGTTATGTTGATACATACAGTTTTAATTCATTCATCTTAAATGTACAGTGTATTTGTCTACTGTGGGAGAGTTAGGTTATTTCTGCTTTTCTCTGTTGCTCACAGCACTACTACATTAAATATGTCTGGACCTCTGACACTTTGCAAGAGTTTCTCTAGGGCAGAAGCAGAAGTTAAATTAATTGCTACGTCATGAGGTGTGTGCATCTTCCATTTTGCTAGATACTGACGGCGTGTTTGGAGATAAAATGAGGTTTTACCAACCTCTACTCCCAGCAGTGTGGAGGGTTCCTATTCCTCATATTTCCCAACACTAAATATTATCAGACCTTGATTTTTCTGGTGGTCTCTCACCTGCAAAAATAAATAAATAAAAGCTTACACAAGACTTTGCCAGTATTACTGTTTTCTGCTGGGAAGAAGGTATGCCTGCCTTCTTGACTGTGTTATCTGTCTCTACCAGGCTAATAACTCTAGCCTGGTCATCAAGATAACCTAGAGTTATCAGCAGGGATGGGGAAAGGAGGATGAGACAGATATCACCAAAATAGTAAACTGATTCAGTAGAGAGCACTCTGAAAACACCTAGGATTCTTCCAAGAGACCCAGCGAAGGCTAGGCTTCTCTATAACCCTCTGACCTGCTGACCTGGACCTGGGCAGAATGTGCCCGTGCACACACACACACACACACGTCACATGGCTCCGGGTTTGCACAAGACCTGGGAATGTGGTGTCAGCCAAAAGTTTCAGTCACTTCATGGTTGAGGCATTATCCAACGTCATTTGGGATCCATCTGTCACCCATTCTCCATCCACTTCACCCTGCAGGTGTTTGGGAGGTATTTTGTTCTAGTGGTCAAGATAGCAGCACTTGTCACTGAAAGTTGGAGGATCATAATTTTTTATCCACACTGGGATACTTTTGTGAATAAAAAGAATTACCCTGAGCCCTGACCAGTGTGGCTCAGTAGTTAGAATGTCAGATGGCACACTGATGGGTTGGGGGTTTGATTCCCAGTCCAAGGCACGTACCTGGGTTGCAAGGTCTATCCCCTGCCCCTGTTGGAGTGTGCGTGGTAGGCAACCAGTGGACATTGATATTTCTCTCCCCCACTCCTTCCCTCCCTTCCATTCTCTCTAAGAATCAATGGAAAAAAATATCCTTGGGTGAGAATTAACAAACAAAAAATTACCCTGAGACAGCAAGAATTATCTGGCCTGTGGGTGGGGAGAGGATATTCACCACATTAGTGAGAGACTGTTTCCCTTGGTAGTTCTTTTATTTTTTTGGTACATGCCCCTAGCAGGAACTGAACCCGGGACTCTCTGTTCCACAGGATGAAGCTCCAACCGTTGAGCCAAACTGGCCAGGGCTCCCTTGGTAGTTCTTTGTAAGAGCTACCTGCTCTGAGACAGGCAGCATGAAAGACTTTTTGAAAAAGAGCATCTCCTATCTCCCAACAACCTTGAGATGAGTGTCTTTTCCTGGGGCCCCAGGAGAGAAAACCAGGACCAAGCCAGAGAGGCGAAGCCTTTTTGCTCCTTGCTTTTGTGGTTTCTAATATCTCAGTGGCCCGGGTGCCCATCCGGCAGGGAGATGTAATCTAGCCCGTGACGGAATTAGGAAGCTGCTGTGTTCTTTGGACACTGATCTCATTTAAATCTCCAAGGATTTCTAAAAGCTTTTATAAAGTGGTGGCAGGGTCCTTGAGCATCCAGGCAGTATGCCCATTTGGAAACTGAGACCTGGGGATGTAGAGACCCATTCAGCAACTCAGTAAATCAGTATTAGCTGGTGAGCAAAAGCTTGCAGAACTTTGTCCAAACTGTGTCTTGTTTCTCAACAATACAGAATTTTTTGACTGGTCGGGGCCTTCCTGGGGTCCATTGTTTTAAGCCTAAGGTAGTGATCGTCTGCTGTTTGCAGGATGTGGGCTGCTGTGGCTGATCTTACGCAATGTTCCATTTGTAGGCACTGTAGCTACAGGGTTTGCAGGCAACCTGGTAGGAATTAGTCACTTATTTTGGACAGGTGATCAGCAGGTGGGCAGCCCTGTGAGTGGCTGAGGCAAGTGGGGCCTTCTCACTGCCTCTCCTGGTTCCCTTGGAGCCTGCAGGGCAGAGGAGCAGTGTTACTGGTGGCCAACTTCAGGGGATGCCTTTCCTGGGTGACACAGCAGTTGCTTGGTGGGGGGGACATTTC